GAGGCCTGCGTGGGAAACGGTCAGGTGTGGGCTGTGAGTGGGGCTGCCGAGCTGGGGTGTGCTGGGCACACTCCAGCCATCACTGTTTTCCTCGCCCCCCTCACCAGGTGTGGTGGCTGTGGCCATATTCGTCCTGCTTTGCATGGCTGCCGTGGCCATCCACCTGTACCAACAGAGGAGCCTGTGCGCAACCACGGAGGTGGAAGGACCCGGGAAGCAGGGCAGCAATGCGGCTGCGCCCAGATGTGAGCTCGGGAGGCCGAACGCCGTGAGTGGGGACCAGCAGGTGGGCCTCTGAGTAGGAGCCGGGCTGAGCGCGCTCTCCCCTGATCTGACGTCCCCACCGCAGACCTCAATGGCCAGAAGTCACTTTGAACCACGCAGGGCACCAGGGTCCTCAGAGGCCTTGTGCCACCAAGTCCTTAGCCCCCATTGGCTCTCTGCACTACGTCCCCACGATTCCAATAACATCTCGGCCCTTGTCAGTTCTGATGTTGTCATGTTCAGTGGCTGGTTGGAGTTAACTGCTTAGCACCCGGGGTTTTGAAGGGGAAGCTCGCTTGGGCAGTGGGGAGGCTGGGCCTTGCCGCTGGTGAGGCCGTGCTCAGTGACCGGAGCGACTTCACAGAACTGAATGCGCTTCCAGCCCTACTTGTTGAATTCTCACAACACCCTGTGCCAGAGCCACGTGGCCAAGACCAGACAGCCTTTCTGCCTTTGTCTTTGCTGCTCCAGTCGACAAAGTACAGTTCCCTGGTGAGACCATCACCTGCGTTCTCCTGCTGGGACCTGCACAGCGAGTGTGGACATGGACGATGCCAGCTGCCAGCTGCCATCTGCAGCTGCAGCGGGAACCCAGAGCTAAGCTCCCTTGTCACCAGAGGCTGGCAGCTGGCAGGGCCCACACTCACACGATCTCTAGAGGGTTTTGTTTTTTGTTTTTGTTTTTGTTTTAATTAAAATGGAAGAGCAGATAGAACTACAAATTCTTACTGTTGAAATGTATCTTTATTTGCATCTGAGATACCTAAATGGTGTGCTATAGTACATCTATTTCCCTAAATGGGTGGGTGATCATGTCAGTTTTCTTTGTGGTGATAAAATCCCGCTGTTGGTTTGACGCTCGTTCGTCTGGCTTATCCCTTGGATGGTCTCACTGACTCTCCTTGCCATCCTGAGACTCAGCCGTGGAGACTCTGCCCCACATGTTCGAAAGCAAACCCCTCTCTGTATCAGATTTCCTTCCTAAAGTGTCAGGCACAAATTCCTGCGAGCTGTGCCTACAGGTCGTGAAGACCTAGGCACGTTGGACTGTGGGCTGGAGCCGTGCCCTGACCTGGACACCCACAATAACCCTGAGATCCACTGCTGTAGCCTCACTTCCAGGACGTGGACGTCCATTTCTCAGAGTTCCCAGAACCAACGGGAACGTCTTAGGGTGCAGCCCAGCAGAGAACAGATGGCAGACTCTTCCAGGAAAACTGGCCAGGAGTTACTTTCGGAGCCCTGATAGAGGAATGGTGGCCAGGAGCCTCCAGGCAGGTCCTGTGCCCCCACTCAGCATGGCTGGGGTCACCGAGCATGCCCACGCCAGAGAAAGGGAGGGACGCCTGCCTTCATTCCGTTCATCTCACATCTGCTTTCTGCTCCTTCTTCACGGTAGCCAGGCCTTACTTCCTCTGCTGAAAATCCTCATCCTTTCCTATGCGACCCTGTTGGTGTTTTTTCTATGAATCCAAGGTTCTGAGGAAGGGCAGGGTTGAACAGGCAGACATATCCCCCATGCGATGGACACACAGGACCAGAGAGACGCAGAACCGGATCACACAGAGCCGAGTCCCGACAGGTGGCCCCTTGGCCACATTTAAAGTGAGGGGGACTCCCTGGGTACCTGGTGTCTCAGGTGCGCAGAGGGGGCCCGCCCGCCACGGCCCCCTACCACAGAAGCGCAAGGCTAGCTCATGTGTCCTCACTGTCCGTCCTCGGTTTGTCAACTCTGCCTTCTTGCTTGTGGATACAGTGGGATTTGGGAAATAAAGCGAGGAGTGTATTTTTATTTTAAGGGAATTCGTATGACATTTTACGATTAGGAAGGAAGAGCTTTCTGGACAGCAGAAGCCGTGTAGGTATGTGCCTTCTGTGCAGTGAGCCTCCCACAGCTCGCACAGGGGCCCAGCATTGCTGTTTGCATGTGAATGCGTCACCGTGTAATGTCCTCATTGTGAGTGGCTCACACTGGGACTGTGAAGACGAGGGTAGGGCTCGCTGGTTGCCGCAGGTGTGGGCAGCCTGCATTCGCGATGCTGGAGTCAGACGGCTCTGCTCCCACCACTCAAGCCTGCGAGGCGGCTGGCTGCTTCTTCAAGCGCTGTCTCCTCCTTAGAGCTTACTGGGGCCACTGTCAGTCCTGGAGATGTTAGGGCGCCCACAGAAGTTCAAAGGCAAGAATGCTCACCCGTTTCTCTTCGCAAATTAAGCCAAGTGTAATACTTAGCTCGTTAGAGAGGTCTGAGCCCCCATTAGCCACTCCTGCTTCCAGCGTGAGTCTGAACAGGGCTGTACGTCCTGCCAGCCTGCCGCGGCTCAACACGTGTCCCCAGACGCTCCAAACGCATCCTGGTTTCCCTCTTTCCCATCGGATGACGGAGAGCATAAGCAAGAAGGATGTGCCGGGTCTGTCCTATCAGCACACGGACATGTGTGTGATGTGTGAGCACACACGTGTGAGTAATGTGAGTACATGTATGTGAGCAATGTGTGCACGCATGCATGTGAGAATGTGACCACACGCATGAGCATGAGGAGTGTCTGAGCACGTGTGTGAGGAATATGTGAACACGTGTGTGAGAATGTGTAAATACATGTATGTGAGAATGTGAGAACATGTGTGAAGAATATATGAACACATGTGCATAATGTGTGAGCAGTCATGTGAGAACGTGAGCATGTGTGTGAGCAATGTGTGAGCTTGTGTGTGAGAACGTGGACACACGTGAGTGATATGTGCGCCCATGCGCGTGAGAAGGTGAGCACATGCATGAGGAGTGTGAGCATGTGAATACGGGTGGACATACTGTGTGGGCACATGCGTGTGAGTAACAATGAAGGGTAAGGGACGCAAATGCAGACCTTGAAATTGGCATGTCCGGGACCCACGGGCACGCGAGATTTCAGGTCGTGAAAGCGGAGCTTCCGTTGGTGCCAGGCGGGCTCGCGGAGAGGCGTGTCAGCACCAGAGGCTTATCCCTCTCACGCACGAGCGATGGGTTCTCCGCTGGCATCCTCAGTGTGGGGTGTGGTGGGAAGTCAGTCCTTCCCCGGGGGCATAGCAGTCTGTGTTTTTTGGGGGATTTGGGTCCCTTGGGGAAGGGGCCACGGGCTCCCTGTGAGTATGGCAGTGTCCAGCTGGGGGGCCTGAACATCCCCGACCTGAAGAAGCCCTTCCTCCCTGCACAGGATATCTGTGGGTGCGCTGTCAGCTCCGCCTCCCCTGCCCATGGCCATCTGTCCGTCTGGCCTGCACAGGGCTCGGATTCTGGAACAGTCCACTGTGGGATGGCTTGTTGGCCCCTCCACCCGCTTGGCTGGAAGAATCCCCCAGGCCCTAGCCCGTCTCTCACACGCTTGTTCCTTCCCATTTTCTTGGACGGAATTTTTCTAACCTGGTTGCTGTCTGTTTGGTGGGTCTAAGAATGAATGGATGTTAAAATCTAAGCATTTCATGTTTAACTAAAAGACCCCTGCCTGACACTTTCCGATTTTTAAGCTGTGCTTCCCCATGTGCAGCCTTGGGCCCCTGTCGGTCTCTGTGCTGAGGGGAGTGGAAAGCACAACGTGCGGTGTCCATCTCTATGTGGAGGGCAGCACTCGTGTCCCGAGGATAAGCCACAGGCCTGGCCTCAGACACCGGGACCCCATGTGTGAGCCCCAAGCTGACGGGCAGACAGGCCCATGCACCCAGGAGCTCCAGTGAGGTCCTGGCATCCAGAAAGCCCCGGGGTACCACACAACCAGGTCACCTCCTCCCTTTCCTGTCCCCAGGCCAGGAGCTGCTCTGAACTCAGGATGGGACAGCCAAGTGGCCACAGTGGAATCCCCCCCACCCCGCTCCAGGCCCCGGGCCCTCTCAGGGTTAGCCAGGCGGGCCTGCCCCTGCCAGCAGGGACTCAAGGGGACCCACAGCCCAGCCTGCTCCCCACAGCACCTTCTGCCTCTGCACCTCCTGTTTTATTATTGCTCCCCCCGCCCCAGCTGCTAAGCCCACCCGTGTTCCATGCTCCCTGGGAGCAACATCAGTGTGGACCTAGCCCCAGCGAGGGCCACTCATCTTGCCTGGACCACCACACACCGGGGTCTGCACCCTTCTGGAACATTCCCACAGGCACCACTGGTATTATCTGTCATGATGTACCCTCCCCTTGGTTAGCTGGGAAATCAGAGGGTGGGTACAATATTGTACCCACCCAGGATTCCTGAGAGCAAATTTGTTGCTCTAAGTAGAAGTACCACAAACAGAGCCGCCGCAGGCTGGCCATGGTGCCCATGGTCAGCAGGCAGTGGGCACTCAGAGCAGCCATCAGGACGGAGGGATTCATGGGAGCAGAGCCCGGCCTCGCCAGGGCCATGTGCCTGGGGAGGGATGGGAGGCAGGTGGTGGGAGAGGTCAGGGGGCCTCACTCCTGAGTGGTGGCGCCCACGCCTACTGGTGCAGGACGATAGCCAGCACATGTGGGAGCCCCTCTCCAGAGAGACAGGAGCCCCCCATTCCACCCCCCACCTTCTGCCTTCCACCACCCCAACCTATTCCAGCCTCTGCCCTCCACCCTCCACACTTGACCCTCCCACCACCCCCCACCCTCCACCCCCCGTCCTCCATCCCCCGTCCTCCATCCCCCACCCTCACCCCATTCCATCTTCCACCCGATTCCACCCTCCACCCAATTCCAGATTCCACTGTTCATGCTGCAGGCTCCTGGCTGCTCTCCCCACCCCCTCAGTGGTCACCCACTCACCACTGCAGCGAGCACCACCTTCACCACAGGGTCTGGACCCTCCTGGGCCCCTGCTGCTGTGTGTTCTCTGACAAGGGCCTCCCTGCCACCTTCCTGTAGGGCAGATACCGGCTGGCCAGAGTCGGCTTCCCGGGGGAGCTAACGTCCCTCCTGCTGACCTGGGAAGTGTGGCTCACCGTTCAGCCCTGGCGGACCCCACTCACTTTCGGGACCAGGATGGCCGATGGACAGGACTCAGAGCCACTGGGAGGGGAAGTTGTCTTGGGTCAGCGTGGGTGGTGGTGGGGGTGCCCACTGGGGCCCCACCCCTCCCACTGAGCCCACCCGTCAGTGCAGCTCCTGATGGTGCATGAGCCTCGAGGACACAGGGCCAGCATCTGGTGGGGCTGCTCCCAGGGGGACGGTGTGGAGGCCTCTGCAGGGCCCATCTCTCCCCAGGGGGCTTCACGGGAAGAGCCCACTCTCCAAGGGGACCTTGCACCAGAGTCCCAGGTCCTGCCGAGAATTGCCCCCTGGGCCTGCCATGAGCTCCAGACTGATATCCTGCCTGACACCCCCAACACCCAGTCTGTCATATGGTGTCGGGGACAGGGCTAGCCCTGCCCTGAGCCTTCCCCCAGTCTGTGACCCACGGAGGGGAGAAGAGGAGCCCTCAGGCCCCAGCTCAGCTCAGAGAACCCTGGGCCATGCCCATGGCCACGGTGGGAGAGGGGTTCCCAGAATAGGACAGGGGACAGGACTCCCCCAGTGTCCCCATGGTGCCTGCTCACAAGCAGGGAGCCCGACCCCAGAGCAGATGTGGGTGGAGGGGCTGACCATGGGACACCGCCCTTCAGAAATGGGCCCAGGGCAGTTTCCTGGGAAAACTGAGCTGGGGCGTCTGTCCAGAGCTGATGCATCTGGGCCTCAGGACCGGCTCTAGTGCACAGTGGTTGTGGTTTTCTGTCTGCAGGCGGCACCTGCAGGGCACTCCCAAGACAGCCCTATTGGCTCACCTGGCCACCGGCCACATCCAAAGTCTCCGGACAGGGTGGCTCTTTGGGGCAGCCCAGAGGAGCCTCCGAGTGGCAGAGGGCAGAAGGCAGGGGCGGAGGACTGAGGCCACCACACACCTCTCCACAGCTTGATCTGACACCGGCCTGGCTGAGGCTGAACCGGGCCCCTAACGGGTTCACTTCCTGTTCTGCAAAGGGAAATGATCAAGGGTGGGGTCAACTTAACCTTCTGCAAGCCCAGAAAGAAAGTGCGGGGCTTCCAGAACCTTCCTCCTGCCCGCCTTGGGGCAACAAACTTCTTTCTAGCAGTCCCTGGGGTTCCCACTGCAGGGGAACCCCTCCCCTGGCTGCCCGCCCTGGCCTGCCATCAGCCCCAGCAAGCCACTGCTCGAGCTCAGTCCCTCAAGCCAGGGCATTGGTGGCTGATTCTACTTCTGTTTGGACCCTGCTGTATGTAGAGAATGCCTCTCACTCGTCTCCTCCTGCAGAGACGAACTTAGCCATAATCTCTTCGTTTCTTTACACAAGGGTGGTTTGGGCAATTTCTTTCCTAGAGGGAATTGGGTAAGTTCCTGGTCCCCGTGACGCCGACAGAGAAGGATCCGAGGATGGACTGGAGCCACCCGGGGGACCTGCATACCTGCCTCCTTCAGCCTCGCCACGATGGCCTCATGACCCTGTTTATAGTGAAACTAATGACAAAAATAACAGGGCAGTTGACTTCAAATTTAATGTCCTTTCTGGTCGATTTGAGGACCGTGTCTCTAGTCTGCTTGGCAGATGGGCTTTCCGTGTTTGTGGAGCAGAAACACGCGCTGCATTTTCCCAGAAACGAGGGACTTGAGCCCAGTACCAGCCGTGTGACTATAAATGTGGCTTCTCACCCCTGGGGTCTGAAAACAATCCTCAGAACGTGAGGTCAAGAAAGAACATGCTCTTGTCTGACTGTCAGCACAAGGTCAGGCTCCAGCTCCAAGAACCCTTCCCAAAATAATTTTCCAAATTGCCATAAATACGCATTAAAATGTGTGTTGCTTCTGACTTTTAGTCCAGAGCCTGCTCTGTGCCCTAGAGCCTGGTAAATGGCTCCGGCTGAGCCTCGCAGAAGGCAAGGAGGTCGGGCATGACGCACACAGACCTTCACATCAAACACGGCTGTGAGACAATAAGACGGGATTTCACACCCGCAGCAGTCAAGGCCCCGTTCTGCCATTTCCATTCCCGAGCCCCTGCATGGGGGACACAGATACTGAACGCACATTTCAGGGAAGTGGTCCCTGAACCACAGGATCATCAGAACCAACAGGAGCATTGATTACAGCAATGACAGCGATCATGTTTTACCAACCCTCTCATTTACAGAGGCTGTGAGTTAGGGGGTCTGAACCGGCCAGGGACACACAGCCCTATAAAACCCACTGTTTGGAGCTGAAGCTGTCCTGGCTCTGAGGGACAGGGTGCCTGGGAGAAACCTGAGGTGTTCAGCGGGTGCACAGGGACATGACCTCAGTGTTCAAGGTCATGGGGGAAGCAGGCGGGCTGGAAGCCGAGACACTGGGCAGCTTGCAGGGTGCTGTGGGCTCAGTTGTGTCCCCCCAGACACACAGGTCGGAGTCTTAGTCCCAAGGAACTCAGAAGGGAACTATTTGAAGATGGGATCTCTGCAGAGGTGACAAAGTTAAAATGATGTCATGGGTGGGCCTGAATATTGGATTTCATAGCTTCCTGGTTGATTTTCAAAGTTCAGGACATTAAGGACGCTGACCAGGTCTGACCACCATTCTCCTAGGACAGCCAGTCAAGTCCTGTTCATCCCAAGATACCAAGACTCAGGTTTGGTGTAAGAAGTCTATAAAAGGATAAATGCAGTTTTTATCAAAATTTAGAATATTCGGGAGGTCTGGCTGGCTCCGTGGGTGGCACACATGACTCCTGATCTGGGGGTTGTGAGTTTGAACATTGGGTCTAGAGAGTACTTAAAAAAATAAAACCTTATGGAAAACAGCATGGAGGTTCCTCAAAATGTTGAAAATAGAACTACCCTATGACCCAGCAATTGCACTACTGGGTATTTACCCTAAAGATACAAACGTAGTGATCCAAAGGGGCACGTGCACCCGAATGTTTATAGCAGCAATGTCTACAATAGCCAAACTATGGAAAGAACCTAGATGTCCATCAACAGACGAATGGATAAAGAAGATGTGGCATATATACACAATGGAATACTATGCAGCCATCAAAAGAAATGAAATCTTGCCTTTTGCGACGACATGGATGGAACTAGAGGGTATCATGCTTAGCGAAATAAGTCAATCGGAGAAAGACAACTATCATATGATCTCCCTGATATGAGGAAGTGGAGATGCAACATGGGGGGTTAAGGGGGTAGGAGAAGAATAAATGAAACAAGATGGGATTGGGAGGGAGAAACCATAAATGACTCTTAATCTCACAAAACAAACTGAGGGTTGCTATGGGGAGGGGGGTTGGGAGAAGGGGGGTGGGGTTATGGACACTGGGGAGGGTATGTGCTATGGTGAATGCTATGAAGTGTGTAAACCTGGCGATTCACAGACCTGTACCCCTGGGGATAAAAATATATTACATGTTTATAAAAAATAAATAAATAAATAAATAAATTAATTAATTAATTAAAAAATGTATTGACTTAAATGTAAGATCTGAAACTATAAAACACCTAGAAAAAAACATAGGTAAAAAAATCCTTGGCCTCTGTCTTGGCCATGGTATTTTGTAGGACACCAAAACACAAACATCAAAAGAAAAACAATCAAACTAAAAAGCTTCTGTCCAGCAAAGGAAACAACCTACAAAATGAAAAAGCAGCCTACAGACTGGGAGCAAATATTTATAACACATATATGGTGTAGGGTTAATTTGCAAAATATATAAGGAACTTCTACAACTTAATAGCATAAAACCAAAATCACCTGAGTATATATGGGTAAAGGCTCTGAACAAACTTTCTCCAAAGAAGCATGCAGACAGCCAGCATGTACATGAGAAGGAGCGCCGCACCACTGATGACCAGGGACGTGCAGAGCAAAGCTGTAGTGGTTTATCACCTCACAACTGTTAGAGTGGGTTTTACTGAAAGGACAGAGCTAACAGATATTGGGGAGGATGCGGAGAAAGGGGACAGTGTTGGTAGGAAGGCAAACTGGTGCAGCCGACAGTAGGAGTTTCCTCGGAAGTTAAAAATAGAATTACCGTATCACCTGTTAATTACTCTTCTCTGCATATATCCAAACGAACTGAACTCAGTACCTTGAGGAGATACCTGCATGCCCATGTTTATTGCAGCAGCCAAAATAGGAAAACAATAGAAATGTCCATAAATATCTCACATTAGATATGAAAATGTGGTATATTATTCAACCTTAAAAAAGAAGGAAATCCTGTCATTTGTCAGAGCGTGAGTGGGTGTGGAGGACATTATACTAAATGAGATACAAAAGAGAAAAACAAATGCTCTCTCATCTCATTCATATGTGGAATCCAGAATCATCAAACTCATGGAAACAGAGTGTAGTGACCATCAGAGCCCCGGGGAGGGGGGATGGGGCAGGAAATGGGGGGTTACTGGTTGAAAACACCAAGTTTCAGTTATGAGAGATAAATAATTTCTAGGGATCTAGAGCTAACAACACGTTTTGTACCCTTAACATTTTTAAGAGGTTAGATCTTCAAATGGGCAAACAAAGTCAAAAGTTGAAATATGTTGGGAGGATATTGTTTGATAAATAGTCAAACTAGAGATTAAATCCTTCTGCTCAATTGTTTCAGAAATCCTAAAATTTTATTTATACCGCAGCCCACCTTTTATTTTTCTGATCAAAGTAGGTAAGAAATGAGTTCCTAAAATGAAGATCAAATTTCTCTTATTTCACAATCTAGAAATAAATTGCATTTTGAGAAAACGTTTTTAAAAATGTGTATATTGTGCTTATGTAATTAATCTCCCATAATCAATACCTACAGTTATTTGCATTAAAGAATCAAGCTCAGACATGAGACTGCTTTCCACTAAGGGATTCCGAAGAGATGGAGGTCTCCAAAATGCATGTACCAATGGCAGCTGCCCAGAGCAGCAGGAGGCAAAGCAGAGGGTGGGGCAGAGATATCTGGAGACAGCACCATGCTGTCCCCAGAGGCTCCCCTCCTGGGCAGGATCACACGTGGGATGGCACGTTGAAGGAACTGACTCCGTGTGGAGAATAGCTTCTGTATTCCCACAAAAGTGCCCCAGCCACTGATGGTCGGGGCTGGCGTGTTTGCACAGTGTGAGGCTTACCCTCCTTGAAACAGTCCCAGCGAGACAGACAGGACACAGTGCAGGAAAGCCCGGGGCAGACTGTGCACAGAGGGCTGAAGACCATGTGTCTCCATTGTTCAATGTTCTCAGGCTATTTCCGATGTTTTAAATTCTTTGAAAACAGCCTACTACTGCACAGCAACTTCAGGAGGTCAGACACTGGTGCAGAACCGTGTCTGAGATCTTACCTTCGAACACTAATCAGTGCTTCAAAGATTTAGGATTAACTAACCCAGTGTAACAACTGGGACATAAAAGTGGGGTTCACAGAAGTTTCAATCACTAGAAACAAAACATAAGAAGTGAAAATATCCCATGATATTTGAGGGATTTTATGTCTTATTTATATTTACTCAATTAAAAAAAATCTTTATAAACATTGTTCAAGTTTGGCCAAGTGACCACAGTTCAGGAGTCTAGTACAGTGCCTTAGGCATAGAAATTTCAATAAATATATCTCCAATAACATAAAATGGTAGTGGCGCCTGGCTGGCTCAGTCCGTTAAGCGGCCGGCTGGATCTCAGCTCAGGTCTTTTTTTTTTTTTTTTTTAATTTTTGTTTGCTTTTTAAATTTCTTTGCAGTGTTCCAGAATTCATTGTTTGTGCACCACACCCAGTGCTCCATGCAGTACGTGCCCTCCACAATACCCACCACCAGGCTCGCCCAACCTCCCACCCACCCCCTCCCCTCCAAAACCCCTGTTAGTTCCTCAGGGTGCACAGTCTCTCATGGTTTGTCATTCCCTCCAATTTCCCCAACTCCCTTCTCAGCTCAGGTCTTGATCTCAAGGCTGGGTGTTCAAGCCCCACGTTGAAAAAAAGTAGAAAAGAGCAAAACAATTATACAGAAAATAGGAAAACCTGTGTTTGTGAAACATCAGGGTAAGCTTCCTCTTTCGGGTAGGAGCCTATAAGACAACGAGACGGTTTGTAGGGATCCTGGGAATCTGGTTCAAACTGAGACTGGTTGATATTTCATTAATAGTTGGAGATTATTTTTCATTTGTCGGAGTTTGTAATAAATAAACAGTATCCTTATTCATTTGAAATGTATGGAGTGGTCACAGGAGGGCTAACCCCTCTGTCTTACTGATACCCCAATCCCAGTAAAGCCGTTCGTGAACAACACACGGGAAACGGAAAACCAAGCGGCCAGCGCAGTGGCAGCCCCACGAGGCTTGAGCAGAGTGATGCCAGCGGGGGCTGAAGGGGTCAGGGAGGAGGCCATGATGCCCACTGATGGGGTGGGGGTATCAAGGTGTGTGGGGTGGTGGCTGACCCTCCTGGCCCTCTCGCTGTTTCTGGGGGGCCCCCGGGTGGGAGCCCAGCATCTAGAAGTGGGAGCCGCTGATGTTTGCCTCACTGCTGGGCACTAAGTGGCCAGAGCAGCTCCCGCTGCTTGTCCCTTAGGAGCCAGACTCAGGGAGGTCAGTGCCTGACCCCCCGGGGCAGCGAGTTGGCTCCTGCGTCCACACTGGGGACAAAGGCACCTTGTTGCCATGCCAGGAGGTCAGCGTCCAGCATGAGCAGCCCCGGCTGCTGGAGCCTGGAGCTGCCGATGGGGCCAACGGAAGTGGGGGCTGGCGCGGAGCTACTGTCCCACCCCTGCCTCGCCTGTCCCCTTTCCTTGAAGTCATCCACCCCACTGCACACACCCCAGGCTTGGGAAGGGCACCGGGTTACACTCACCCACAAAGAGCTGGCTGTTGAGCTGCAGGCGCATGTGCCCGTCCTCGGGGGCCATGTGTGTCCTGGGTGGTAGCAGGTCCACCTGCAGCCAGGCCTCCTTGATGTTCCTCTCGGCCCGGATCAGGTGCCACCGGTTGTCATTGAGGGGGCCAGGCGCCTGCACTGTGACTTCACAGGGCCCATTCCCGACATCAAAGGAAAAGGCCACTTCTCTTGGGGCTGGAAACATGATACATGGGAAGGTCAGAGCCATTTCCCAGAGGGGCCTCGGGGACACAGGGGAGCGGCCCTCCCTCTGACCATGGGCAGAAGAATATTTTTCCAGGTAGACCAGAGGGCAAAGGGATCTCGTACTTGGGAAAATAATAATTTTTAAAAATATGATTCAGAATGTGTTAATTCACTTCGATTTGTGCCAGATTGAAACCATAATTGCATGTGTAGAAAAACTATAAAACATCTGGATTTTGTGTAGAACTTGGTCCAGACCCTCACCCATTTTATAATGTGAGCAAGCTGGAGGTGCACGGGTGTCTGCGGCAAGCTGCTTGGGGGTCTGGTGAGCACCCTGTGGTAGAGTTAGCTGAACTCGAACCCCGTCTACCCCCCGGATGAATGTTTCTCAGACTGGACCCTGTGTGGACTGGTGCTTCCACTGGCTGTCATGTGCACCACTGCTCCCGCTGGGCAGGGGGCACAGACCTGCAGGACTGGACCCGAGTCTCAGGCTGGAGCTGGTGGATGGAGGGACGAGGAGCGTCCAGGCCTCCTTGACCAGTGACAAGGGCCCCACAGAGTTTTCTGGAAACTTACAGCGTAGCTCCAGGCTGATGAAGTCTGTGATCCCCAGGTTCTCTAAGAACACCCCAGATGAAGCTCTCGTCTTGAAAAAGAAGGACACGTCGGCGCTGAGCTCTGCGTGTAGAGTGGGGAAGTGAAGGTATGAGGTTTCTGTGTGGAAGGAAGCCGAGTTCCAGAAGGATTCTAGGAGACAGAAGGGAAAGGTCTCACTTTCAAAGCTGTGTTTGCTGTCCTGGCTGCCTTCTCCTGAGCGTGCCCACAAGATGCCTGAGCTGAGAGCTCAGTGGGAGTGGGGATCCATGAAGACCCTCTCCTCGTGGGGCAGGAGAGAGAGCGCCTTGCAAACTGTGTCCATCTCCACACCACCCATTAGGAATATCTCCTCTGCATCCAGGCAAGTCACTCTGATAACATTCTCCACAGTTTATCATCAGACCTTATCTCATCATTTAGAATGTTAAGCATGTACATAGCTGAATTTGAAAAAAATCCTGCAGAAATCCAAAGAGTTGCCCATCATAACCCCAGGGACTCAGCTGGTCCAAACTGTTCCAGCCTTACCAGGCTCGTTCCCCAGAGTGCGCACTCCCATCTTGACTGGGACGGAGATGGGGAGACGCTCTACCAAGCCTGCTCTCCCAGACAAGCATTTTCCCGAGTCCTGATAAGATGGGTGGAAAGTAACCACCCACACTGGTTTCTGCCGCGGCATCTCCAATCGCTCAAAGTTAATGAAAAATAAAGAAGCTAAAACCTCTCAAAGATAAAAAGCTTCTTCCCAAGGATTAGCTCTTTGATGGAAATGAACTTTCAAAAACACGTGATCCTGTGATGCAGTGTGACTTGGAGCCACCCTCTGGTTGGGCTCCTCCGCACTTTCCTTCTGAGTTTGTATATCCTGGCCTCCCTCTTGCTGGGGTTGCCTCCTGTTGAACCTGAGGTTGGGCATGGTGCACAACCTGGGCCGTGATGACCCTGCGTCCTGGATCTGAGGCTGGGCATGGTGCACAACCTGAGCCGTGATGACCCTGCGTCCTGGCTCTGAGGCCCCATACCTGACAGCACTCACGTCTGAATCACTTTTCCTGGAGCATAAGCTCATGCATGGTCAGAAAACAGCCACCTCAAATACCTCTCCACTCCATGTCCAGAGGACAGACGCAGTCCTGGCTAGCCTCTGCACTGCGTGTCTCTAGCCAGTATCACCTCCTGCCAAGCTGGTCTGCTTTGCAGCTTTCTGGCTGGGGGTGGGGGGCAAATCAAGATGTCAGTTCTCAGGTTTTCCTGGGACTCATGTGGAGCCAACAGCCCCTTTGCTGGCTTTCTGTGGCGATACATCTTGGGAATGTTTTGTTTTTCTAGAGGATAACTAGGTGAGGTGAGGTGAAGTTTCCTCTGCACAGTTCTTCCCAGGGGCAGGTCCTGGTCTAGTTCATGAAGGAGATGGCAGGTGATTGCCAGTCACAGGGGTCTCTGTGGCCACACTCAGTGGGACCACACTGCTCTTCCAGCAGCGTGCTGACTTAGGACAGCACCAAAGAGAAAAGAAGGACTCTTCCCAAACACGAGCTGACTGGTCATCAAGAATGTTTGGGCTTAAAATCCCAAATTAGAGAAAACAGTTTTAAAGGTTTATCTTTTGAGTCACTATTCAAGGGGGTACCTGCACCCCCATGTTTATAGCAGCAGTATCAACAATAGTCAAATTATGGAAAGAGCCCACATGTCCATCCACAGATGAACGGATAAAGAAGATGTGGTGTAAATATACAGTATTTATGCAGAAAGAATGGAATCTTGCCATTTGCAATGACATGGATGGTGTTATGGTGAGTGAAGTAAGTCAATCAGGGAAAGACAAATATCACATGATTTCACATGTGTGTGGAATTTAAGGAACAAAACGTATGAACATAGGGGAATAAAAAAGAGGCAAACCACAAAACAGACTCTTAACAAGAGAGGACAAACAGGGCTGCTGGCGGGAGGTGGGCAGGGGGTGGGCGATGGGCTAGATGGGGGATGGGCATTAAGAGGGGCACTTGTCATGAGGAGCACTTGGTGTTGTACATAAGTGATGAATCACTGAATTCTATACCTGAAACAACAACAACAAAAAGCATATCTTTCATTTCATTTCAGTTTTGTAAGTAGACCAAAGGGAAGCTCTGGGGACTGGTTTAATCTAGTAGGCTAGAATCTGTTTCCCGTGGGCTACACGCTTCCGCAATGAGTGAGTCCGGGGGGAGCACCTCTCATTTTCTATGTGGCTGAAGCCTTTGAACTAATATGGACACTATTTGGCCACCGAGCTCTTGTTGGTGGAACTGGACGAGGTGACCCAGTGCCTATCTGTTGCCTGCACCCTCAGGGGCCTGGGTCCTCTGTGCCTTGGGTGCGAAGTCGGGGTCCAGGAACTCACGGGTGGGAGCCATGAGTTCTGTAGGAGCAGACCTACATGGGCCCCGCTCTGGGGGGTCTGACAGGAAGGGCTGTGAGCCACCCAGGAAAGAGTCACATTATCATATGGACCTTAAAGGTAGAGATCTGATAACAGGCCTGCTTGAAGGCAACCTTTATCTCATGTGTATATAGATGGGTGTGCGCAGGTGCACCTGTGTGATATAGAATGGTTACTTACATAAGAAAGAGATGTAGCATTACATATGTTTTTAATATAGATACATATACACAATGTACTATATATATTATATATGTAACATTACTATATATACAATGTAACACATGGACTGTGTATCTGTAGACAGTGTGTGTGTCCTGTGCACACATGTGTGAGAAATATGGCTGTATAGACAGACACTGCCCAGTCAGGGAAATTAGCTCTGTTAGCCTGACTGGGTTAAGGCTGATTTCATAAATATTTTCTTTTCTAAGCTTTTATTTGACCTATTAATAAATTATCCTAATAATTATTATTTAAAAAGGAATAGAGACCATGTTAAAGGCACACTTTTATAAAACAAAGATGTTTACTTTAAAAATTAAAAGTATATGAAAATAAAAAATCTGCTTTTCAAAACTGGAAGTATAAATTACAAAATTGCTAAACTGACTGAGATTTTTCTAGCAATCCATCTTTCTGATCATTTAAGAGACTGTTAAACACAGCTTCTTAAGGAGAAAACACTAAGGATTGCCACTTTAGCTTTGGGACATAAACACTAGTGTGTCCATCCAATACTTCAGTGGCTTCTCTTGAAATCTGTAATGTCTTTGAAAGTAACAATTGGGATCAAATATAAAGGAAAATGCACATGAAAACAGTGAACTATGGGGCTGGCTATAAGGACAGTTCTGGTTGGAGGCCAGCTGGAAGGGAACACAGCTCATCACACGTGTCTGTGCAGGAGACCCGCTGCCCCGTGCAGGGGAGGCACCTGCAGACAACATTCGTGGAGCTCACAGGAAGTGAGAATTACTTCTACAGCTATTCACACGGCAAGCAGACTGAGAAGCCACCTCAGGCTTCAGTGCCTGCGTTCCCTTCTGGGTCTGTGGGGGACTCCCCTAATGTGGCAGCTGCTACGAAGCTTACTGGTGTTCCTAAGATACAACAGGTTCTTTACTATCTACAGCACAGAGACATGTTTACTTTAAGGGCAGTTGGACCCAGGAGGTCCAAAGCAGGTAGAAAGAAGTAATCTTGGGCCCAGAGGTTCGCCAGCCCTCCCACCCTAGTGTAGGGGCAAGAGAAAATGTAAGTAAATTGCTGTGATGCTCCCATAGTTTTCTGCATGCACCCTGCCGTCCGCCATGAATTCTTGCACATCTGGGATGGAAGCGCTGTGGCTGAGTGAGGCTGGGGCCCAGGAGGTCTGACAGCCACTCCCACCTTCCTGTACTGTCGGCCTCTTCCCTGCACATTTCCCAGTCTCTGGGCTTCCTCCCTTGGACGGTGTCTGCCCAGAATTGCCAGGCTGCCCTTCATCCCCTGACCTCTGCAGGGCTCTGTCCTTGACCTCTTCCATTCTCTCGGGACATGCACCATCCAGGAGACCTGTCCTCACACGAATCCCACAGATAGCAGGCAGCCTCTCCAGGGACACCATGTGAGCAGGGCCAAGGCCCTCCGTCTTGCCTGTCTGTGTTCACCCCACAGACATCTGGACCAGCCTGTTCATGTCACCAGGTCAGAATAGCCCATGTCATCCATGGCGGCTCCATCCTTTGCTGTCTGGACCCAGCACTTGGCTACCTTGAATTTGCTCACAGCTCACATCAATCTGCGTCTACCTTTAAGCAAATTCCCATTGTGGCTCTCTGATGCAGCTGGGACCCCGGGCCAGCAGCCGTCCACCCGCTCTGCTCAGGATGCTTTCCCTGCACTGGTGCATGTCCCTGGTCCTGCTGGTCTTCATCAGTGGGTCCTTTCCAGTGAGGCCTCCTGTACCCCCACTCTGTGTCCTGCCTTCTCCCCGTTGTGTGCATGTGTCATCCTGCGTGTGTGCCTGGACTCGTCCTCTCTCTGTTGCCCTGGGAGGACAGTGATGGCCTTCCGTCTTGCACCCGGATGCACCATTGGCCACACTCCATCGTTATCTGACTGAATGTCTGGAAAATATTTCCTCTTTTCTTTAGCCTGTGAGCAGGCAGGATACTCTTTTCATTTTGGTTTCATAATGTGTCTTCTCATAATTCTGCTCATGTAATTTGTGGAACAAATGGGAGTGGGGAAAGAAGATGGAGGAGGGGGGAGGGTGGGGAGGGGCAGCCAGGGAAATCAGAGAATCGAATCCAAAGGAAAGCAGGGCAATCAGCAGCTGTAAGCATTTAAAAGTTGTCAACGTGCCCAGACCCTGGTTGGGACCTGCGCTGTGGAGGCCGGTAGAGGCTATTGTCCAGGATCTCTGAAAATGGGATCAGTGCACCTGCACCCAGAATGGTGTTGATGGAACAGCGCCAAATGGAGGAGAAATTAACAAAATCATTGCTTGTCCTGTGAGCTTCTGCCATGGGTTGCTTATTGCTGTGCATGCCTTGAATATTAATGTGCCCTGTGCAGCTTCAAGCCCCAGACGGCTGCTCCAGCCACTGCTGACAAAACGAGGAGCCCATTGCAGGGGCTCAGTAATGGCTTGTCCGACCACAGGATGCTGAGAACGAGGCTTCCTAACTGCATGTCTTTGGCGGTAGCACCAAGGCAGATGTTCAGATCACATTTAAAATTTTAATGGAATAAATTATCTGAAATATTAATTGAATGAAATGGGTTGCAGAATGCAGATGTCAAAGATTTTAAAATGGCTTTGCAGTTCAGGTCGTCAGAAAACGAAGACCACCTCTTTTCCCGTAAGTAAAATGCACACGGACTTTGAGTACAGATGGTGGGATAGAGTGGAGCACAGAACGAATTTCTCCCCAAACCTGATGAAACCAAGAACAATGAGCGACACACACAACAGCTCTCAAATTCTTTTCTGAAGGCCTGTGCCCCGACCTGACCCCCGCCTAGCATCCAGCAGCAGTCCCCACGGCTGCAGGGCTCAAACACGACCACTGTCTTCCTTGCCTGCACCCAGACTAACACCCTAACCGAGAAATGGAATGAACAGAGGAAATTCGCAGGAGTCTCACGATAATCCTGAACCGCGAGTTCTCTGGAGCCTTCTCTGGGGGCCCTTGGCGGCTCTGAGTGGATGGGCTCTGAAGCTTCCTGGCCACAGGCCTGCCACCACGCTCCCTAGTGATGGTTTGTATCATTGAGTTAGAGCGACACAGCACTGATGCTTTCCCCGTCTGCAAAGGGACACAACTTCTTCATCGGCACCCCGACGGGAAGCAACAGCTCAGCACGCTGCAGCCCCCTTGTCGTCCCACTGACCAGCCACCCCCAGGAAAGAGGCCCTGTGGACCTTACTTACGGTCCCCCTGGCACAGCAGAGGCCCCAGTCTGTAGGCTGCAGCAGAGCTTGGGCGGGCTGCATCGGCCACCACGATGCGTGTCACGGGCAGGTGCTCCTTGTAGGACAGCACACCTGTATCGTTGGTCCTGGGGGAGAAAACACCCACTGATGCCGCATGGGACCAGTGCATGAGCTCAGCCACCAAATGCTTGATGCACGACCCTTACTGGGTTTGCAAGCACGGACAGTGCCCACACCACTGGCCTCAGAGGGGGCAGGTGGCAGATGCAAAAGTGGGATCATCTGGGCACAGCTGACATCACATTCCAACCTGATGAAACAGCTAACTGTTCTTCTAAATATGGTGCCAGCACAGGACTCGCATGAAGTTTTTATGTCTTCTGTGGTATTAGGTGTCCCATGGGGAAGTCACTACATTGGGTGTATTACCTATTAGCAATACAAAATATTCTATACAACATATAAATACAAACAGTTTTTTGCTCAGAACTTTATTTTCATTATTGCTGCTTTTTAAACACGACCTTGTTTTTATTTTGTCCCTCCTTACTGATTTTATAATTTTTAAAACTTATTTGAAACCAATTTGGGGATAAAATTGGGTGCAATGTTGTCTTAACTGTGGTCCATGAGACCGCGTGTGGGAAGGTGCTTGGGAAATGTGCCCTCTCCTCACGCCCTGACGGGGCACAGGGGCGGGTGTAGTTCCTGCCCTCCATCCAGGAGACGTGGTGAGGATGCCTGGCTGTCACCGTGCTCTGCAGAGTGAGCATGCGGTGGAGACACAGCAACATCTCTGGGGATGGTGCGAGGCAGGCTGTGGGCTGGCACCAGCCCCTCCTGGCCGGTCCCATTTCTCCAGCACCAGAGGGCTGTGCTCAGTTTCTGTAGTACCCTCCCGTTATCAGAAGGGACGTCAGTTCTTCTTCTTCTTCTTTCTTTTTTTTTTTTAAATTTTATTTATTTATTTGACAGAGAGAGAGAAAGAGAGAGATCACAAGTAGGCAGAGAGGGAGGCAGAAAGAGAGGTGTAAGCAAGCTCCCCACCCACCAAGCAGAGAGCCCGATGTGAGGCTCGATCCCAGGATCCTGAGACCACAACCAGAGCCGCTTAACCCACTGAGCCACCCAGACACTCCGGGGCATCAGTTCCGTGTGGGTTTCTGATTTATAGACAGTGGAGGCTCTGATGAGCAGCTAGTGCCCTGAATCTGCAGGAGCAGGGCCAGCCGTGTGGACCGTCCTTGGCACATCGGCCCATCCTGCCCCTGCAGACTGGGAAGGAAGAACCGAGTCACCCCGTCAGTCAGTCCTTTCTTTGTTTTAAACGGGGCAGATGGGAGACTGGTGTGGCTTATGGCCACATGGTGAGTCCGCCAAGCCAAGCACATCTTCTGCTGTCAGTCTTGCAGACGCACAAGTGTGTCCTGTGGAGACGGGCACCAGGGATGCAGCTGTGGCTACTTTCCATGGATTCGTGATGTTTTAAGGAACTACTTCACAGCAACCAGTCCTTTTCATCAAGTGTATAACAGTGATGTTTTTAGAGGACTAGGAACACTGAAGACTTATCTTAGTGCATCACAAGTGTGCTGGGGAACATAATAATAAAGTCTCTGCTCTGTGTTGGTCTGAAAACCATGTTTTTGCTGATCTGATGGAAAGAATCATCTTCACACTGTTGTGTAACTACGTAGGGCTTCCAAGTTCCCATTTTACCAGGTGATTATTGATTTGCCTGGTTAATAGCTTCTAATGATTCTTCTGTGTTCTCTCTTTTCCTTGAAGGGCCTGTTGCAAGCAGACTTAGAAATAGTGCATTTGTCGTGTGTTCTCACCCGCCTGGAGAGTCCCAAACGAGGACTTTACACTTTATTTCTAGCAACTCTAACACTACAGAAATAATACTTACGACTTTCTAAGGAAGCGTACAGTTGTTGTGTTGTGAGGACCTCTTGGTTCTAGTTTCCGTGGTTGCGAAGCTAGAGGGGGAGGAGCTGGCCAAGTGCAACATTTAGTAATGGGTTCAACTGACCACAAGATCATTCAGAACAACATTTATAACCAAATTTGGAAACTTTTCCAAATAAATGGTGATTTTGATCTTCTTATAAGAATTTTTACTTATCTAAAAATATGTTATCACTAGTAACTTTCTTGGTTAGTTAAATGTTTTACTGTATCGGCCATAACTCACACATTCAAAGCAGTTGAAACAACCATAGAAAAAACATGGTATACCCATCTAGGTTTGGTAACTGAAATATTACCAGTGGACACAAAGAAACAAAATTGTAATTAATTGTAGATGAAAGGACTATGTGCACAGAAAATCCAAAATACTCCACAGATTATGCATTAAAGTACAAGATAGCAGTCTAGCTGGGCCACGGGACTCAAGGCCAATGATGCGGAAACTGACTGCATTTCTGCACACTGTGATTTGGAAATGAACATGGAATATAAGATGATACTATTCACATGAGCAGCAAAGATATAAAGTCTCTAGGAAATGAACTAACAAAAGGCTCTGGAGGCCTGGACTCTGAACACAAGGGACACATTCGTGAGAAGAGTTAGGGAGCTGGAACACCAGGCATTCCGGGGATGCTGGGTCCCCTGAGGTCACCCAAGGTGCCAGCCCAGCCCTAACCAGGGCAGTCCAATGTCGTCTGCACCAGACACAGCTGTAGCTGTGGGAATGTGAGATCCCGGCACATCCTCCCAAGACAGACAGAAGATGAATGACAGACCTGTGGACAGTCTGCTGTCTGCAAAGCTGGAAGTAACTGGAGATCTGGGACGGAAGTGGCCACTGATGGCGTTTTGCGTGATTCATACTGCACCGTTAGTGTGATTTCTGGCAGGATGGAAATGCCACAGAGGGAGGACGCAGGAAAGAGAGGGAAGGCTGAGTAGGTTTCCTGGTGATCCTATGGGCAATAGGTAAAAACCAAAGGGGATTAAAAAAAACAACAACACCCTACAAACCAGAGAGTAATGGATTAACTAAGAAAACCATAGAATTGATTGTGTGCATAATTACAAGAGCAAAAAAGCAAACATCCCTAGCTACTTTAGAAATAATTTTGTAGAAGATCAAAGAAATATGCATCTTGTAAAAAAGCAACACAGCAAATATAACAATCTGCATTAATAATTACAAGATAATATGATAGATTTGAACCCAAATATGTGAGTTTTATCAGTGAATATGAGTGGGTTTAATTGAACTTTTAAAACACAGAAGACTTCAGATTTGGCCCCCAAACTAGATACAATGGCATACTGTAAACCAGAGACACACAAAGTGACTCAGAAATGCTGAGAAGGTTGACAAGTAAGTCAGGCGCGATCCTGGTGTCACAGCATGGATTGGACTCAGTGCTGGGAATGACAAAGGGGGCATTACAGCACTGAAGCCCGAGGGTGCGAGGCAGACAGAGCCCTTCTAAATGCTTCCACTCCAAGATATCCAAACAATCACCTTGTGAAGAAGCATCTACAGAAAATGCAAGAAGTCAGGCGTAGAAACTCACTAATCGTACAACAATGTAACACGAAAAGGAGATGGAAATGAGTGGGGATGTACAACACCTGAATAACATAATCAGTGGGGGTAAATTTTATGGGCAATATACCAAAAGCTACACCCAAATAAAAGAAATACAGCTTCTTCTCAACCTCACAAGGGACAGTCACAAACCCAGTCACTGAGTAGACCACAGAGAAAATGATAGTAAGTTCCTTACAGTAGAAATATTATAAACACACTCTGATCAGATGCAGAATAAAACTGAAAATATTAACATTTTTAAAAGGCCCTTCCATCTGAAAAATTGATTCCTAAATCTGATAAAGACGAAGGTTGATGAAAGCCTTCTAGCTAAAATATTAGTAAATACAATATTAGTAAATAATACCACCCCAAGAAATGGTATAACTTGACCAAGTGGAATTTGTTCCAATTTAAATATTAGGAAGTTCATTAACATTATCTGCTAAATTAAGATATCTAAGGAGAAAAATAATTTGCTTATTTCCATAAATGCTGAAAAAGAAATTAGACAAATGTCAGCACACATTTCTAAGAGACATTCAGGAAGATGAGAGTTGATAGGTACTCCTTAAAGTGGTTCCATAAATACAGACAAGACATCTATTTCATCTCTATATATGTCTACATCTCCGCTCTCAGTGTCTGTGTCACCTAATACCTTGGTCCTGAAACCAGCAGGTCACCTAATGGGCAGGCTTGGGGACAGACATTCCTACTCAGATCATGAGGCCATGGACTCCACTGCTATCCCACATATTCAGTTAAAACTTGCCTTCACACATAAGCAACAATGAGCTAGAGGACATAATGATAACTCCGTTTCTGGTACCAAGGAAGAAGATAAAATGATCAAGGACTAAATTTAACAGAAAATGTACCGAATGAGTAGAAGAAAAATTTTCTGAGAGACGTAAAAGTGATTTGTGTGTTCCTTTCTCTTGGGTAAGAAAACCCAGCATCATGAATATGTCCCTTCTTGCTATATAATAATATGGCATCAATAAATAAAGCATTCTCCTCTATGGCTATGGGAGTGTAAACGGGCAAGGATGCTGAGAAGAATTTGGTAATGTCTAGCAAAACTGGTATTCATTGCAGATTGTTCGTAATTTGCCATTAACAACCTACATGTCTATATACAAGACTGTGTTTGAATATATTACGGTATGTCCACACAATGGAGATCACTATGAAAAAGAACAAAATGTATAAAAATACTGAGAATATGTTACCTTTAGTGTAAAAAAGAAGGGGAAAATAATAAACTACCCAAGTATTTTCTTATTTATGCAAACATAAACATAAGAAAGATAAACCAGGAAATAATGAGATTGGCAACCTGTAGTGAAGGGTAATGAAGGGGGAAGTGTGGAGGGAAGAGAAGTGGATCCAGGTATAGAGAGAGAGAAAGAAAGGATATGGAGATGGATATGAAAAAAGATGATGGAGATGGTGGAAGTGGAGCCTGATAAAGAGATAGAGGAGGTAAAGATTGAGAGATGAGTTTGGGGATGGGCAAGAAGATGGGGATGGGGGTGGGGATGGAGATAGAGATGGAGATGGGGATGGGGATGGAGATGGAG